CGAGAAAATACAAATCAACAAATAAAAAAAAATAACCGGTATGAATCTAAGATATATTATATTTTTTCATTTTTTATGTTTAATGCTATTTGGATTATTTAACAATTTCAATGTGAATATATTGAAACAAAATTTACTGAATTAATGATTGGTATTGGTAGACCATTTGGTAGACATGGTACTAAACTAAAATTATTAGCTTTATTATTTATGTTAGTTTTTGCATCATGTATGAGATTATACAATTTATAACAATGCTTTTACATCGTTGGGGAACATTTATAGAAATCTTAGCTAGTAGAAAATTATTTGAAAAACATTAAAAATATATATTAAAACCAGTTTCAGATATAGCTCGTATAACAAGTGAAGAAGTTACTGAACTATTAAAAGAATTTGATATATAATTAGTTGTTCCACCTGTTATAAAAATACCCAAACAAAGTATTACATTTAAAATAAAACCTCTTATTAATAAGTAACAACATGATATTCATAGTCTTGGTTATGATGAAAATGATGATGATCAATGAGATGATGTTCATTAATTGGTTATTTTTATCATTCTCTTGTACAAAAAGCAGCTGATGAAAGTCGTCTTCGTATGATATGATTGATCAATTGTTTACTTTTTTGTTTTTTCTTTATTATAATAATTTTTTACGTCTCATAAAAGAATATAATTTTATATAAGAAACATAGGTGTATATAATTCACTTAATATCTGCTAGTTTTAGATAAAATATGACTACAAATAATGAAGAACCAAGTGGAACTATGGTTGCGCTTGATGTTGTAAGCGCTAAAAAATATCTAAACTTTTTATATTACCGTGTTTTTATAGTTCGATCTTGCTGTTTTGTTATTGAATGAACATCAAGGAAAACAAACAGAATATAGTGAAAAATGTCGTGATGATGCAATACGCTCTATAGTGATGCTAGTATTATTGTACAACATGATAAACAATATCGCAGAAAAATATTTTTTCAAAACATTTTCTAGCTAATTTATTTAACAGTGTACAAGAACAAAGTTTTCAATAAATGATAGAAAGAGGTAAGATATTAACATTCTTTTACACTAGCGGTACACCGTGCAAAATGCACGGCTGCTTCGTTGTCTTTTCAATTTAAGTAGCTTGAGTTAGTAAGCGAATGTATTTAAATGAAATCAAAAGCGACAGGTGCACTTTTTAGAGAGAGCAGTTAGATTTCTCTATTTTATTTTATGACAATATATTTAGGATATTTACAAAACTTGTCTAGAATTCACAGAAAACTTATCCCAATCTGAAATAAAAATCTCAAAATTTTGACTTTCCCTTTTTCCATAATTTTTTTTTCTCACAAAAAATCAACTGTTTTCATAAAAATTCAATTTTTCTCAATAACAGTCTGTCCATATAAGCCACGGCCAATTTGCAGAGAAGCTGCTCAGTCGAGGTCGTTAGATTTTGTTCAATTCAAGGCAGATTCTACAGGAAAGAATTCTATGAATTTTGGCTCAAGCCGTTTTCAAATCTATTGATGCTTCGATATTTTATGAGCATTTTACGAAAAGGCCTAAAATGACCACATTCGTCAAGGGGGTCCTAATGCAACTATATCTCAACAATGGCTCAACCAATTGAGCTGAAATTTGATATGGATATGTTACGGTCAAAATTCAAATTCAGTCAAATTTAAAATTTGCCGAGTCAAAATTCAAATTTGAATTTTGACTGGGCAAAATTCAAATTTCAACTGAGAAAATAATATTTTTTTTTTATGAATAAAATAAGATTAAAACAACAGATATTTAAAGTAACAATATTTTTATTTTAACAAAATTGAGTAAGCAACATGATAATATTCCTACAAAAATCTAATCAGTCCATGTTCAGACATCCTCCTCTTTTTGAGTGACATTTAGTTGAACAGAATACATTGTCTTTTTTGCATGGACATGTTTTGGTGGTACATTTTCCTCGACAATTGCAAGTGCGACCAGTTGTGGAACCACGAGAGTAAAGTTTTGATGCTTCAATGATGGTTATTGGCTTTAAACTATCAACATCTACGTTTTTTAGTTCATATGGACAAGCATCTTTTAAATCAAACAGCTGACCAATTTCAAATGTGTTTTGCAAGACGCCATATTGACAAATTAATTTGTAAGAAAACATATTATTTTTTTGAATTTTTTCTACAATAAGGCATGGCAAATACTTTGGATCAGTATTAGTTCTGTCAACTGAATGTATCTGGATCCCAACGCAATCATTCACATTAAAACTGTTGGAGATAACATTTAAACCATCCTGATACAGTTTCATCTTTTTGTTTGCAGTTGCCAGGTAATGATCCGTAGCCGCTTTTCTAATGACATCATGTTTTTTTGATGTAATTGTTACTATTGATGAGGATGTTGATGGATCATTTAATGAAGACACAACATCATCAGATAATTGATTAACAAGTTGAACTACTTCTTCATCAAGATCATCATCAAGATTAATTGATTTATCATTATTTGAATCATCTTTTGATAGAGCCACTGGAGTTGGCAAATCATCTTCATCATCAATGCAATTTTGTTTAACTAACTTCCAATAATCAGAATCACTACGAGGTGCCTGTCCGAACATCACTTCATATGGAGTGGTTTTCGTAACATCAGATTTTCTGGTATTAATACCATAAACCACTGGCAACAATCCATTAGACCAACTAGATGAATTATTGGTGCACATCCATTTGCCGAGAGCATCACACAAAACACCATTTGCTCTTTCAATGCATCCCTGGCTTTGTGGATGTCTCGGCCTACCTCGAATAAAATGCATATCAGGAAAAAGACTTTTGAATTCCATTATAACATTGGAAACAAATTCACGACCATTGTCGCTATGAAGTAATCGAGGTGGTCCAAAAACAAAAAATAACTCACGTAATTTCATAGCAACTTCAGTAGCTGATTTGTTTTTTAATGGAAATGCCCATGAAAATTTGCTGAAATGGTCAATGCAATTTAAAATCCAACAGTAGATAATTTCGGGTGATATTTTATCCGGTCTTGTTCTCATATCAATAAGATCTATTTGAAGACGTGTCATAACACCTAAAGAAATAATTGGCTTTGATGGAATATGCTGCTTGATTGGTTTTCGTGTTTGACATGCAATACATTGTTTTAAACATATATCAATACAAAATCGAGGAATCCATGAATATTGGGAATTCAATTCAAAGCTGGTCTTCTCACGACCACCATGTGAAACAGTATGATGTGCTTCAGTAATAACATTATAGAAAGCCTCATAAATACATATTGGTTTCTTTGATTTGGCACATGCAACTATATCAATACCAGCAATTTTAATTAAGACAAATTTTTGTCTAGCCCAATAAACGAAAGTAGAAGAATATAAACCATATAATGTACCTTTTGGTACAAGCAAACATTTCTGTATATCATCATAAACCTTTTGTTTTATAACACATTTCTCACGAAAATTTTTATTTAATGAACTAATATGTTCTTCAACTTTTTCGTAAAAAGTCTTTTCATTATCATTAATTTTCATTGTTGTTGAATTCGACTCCATCATTTTATTACAGTTTAAGCGTGACTATCTATATATCTATTTTATTTCAGTAACCATGCTTTTATAGTATTTTCTCTTTCTTATCAACTATTATGTTCTCCTATGTATAGAATTCGTCATATCAAACAATGTTCCTCTTTCTGACCTACTTTTCTTTACAAATAACCAAAAACAAAAAAAATACAATTAAATAACAGAATGGTTAGCGTAAAAGAAAGTTTGAGTGTCTTAAGATTGTTGCTTTAAATATCTGTTGTTTTAATCTTATTTTATTCATAAAAAAAAAATATTATTTTCTCAGTTGAAATTTGAATTTTGCCCAGTCAAAATTTAAATTTGAATTTTGACTGAGATAATGTTGGTCAAAATTCAAATTTGAATTTTGTCTAGGCAAAATTCAAATTTGAATTTTGACTGGTCAAATTTTAAATTTGACTGAATTTGAATTTTGACCGTAACATATATATTGAGTAATTTGCGACCGCTTTTCAATACAGATGAAAAAAAGTCATTCGATATTTTTTTTTTGTCTTTTTCCTACTGATATTGAATTTATTGAAAAAGCTAAACAATATTTTTTTACATAAAAGAAATTAAAATATTTTATTTTTTTGTAATATTAAATTTAAATTAAAGTCAACGTAATTTGATAATAAATTAATTAATTAAAAATATAAAAAATATTTTGTTTGAATCGAGATAAATATTTCTTTTTAATTAAATTTTAGGTGCTTTTTTCAAATCTGTTGAATAAGAGCGTTTTATGTATCATAACTGTTAAATCATAGAAATTTCATAAAAGCCTTAAGAATTTTTCAATGATTCAGCACGAATAATTATCTGATTAATCAAAGGAAAAAGAAATCTATTTAAGAATAAAATATAAATTGAAAAGGACACATATCGCCGGGATAGCTCAGTTGGGAGAGCGTCAGACTGAAGATCTGAAGGTCCCTGGTTCGATCCCGGGTCACGGCACCATTTCTTTTTTTTGTTTTTGTTCTTCTTAATGCATGTGATTTTTATTGATTCCTTTTAATATTTATTTTCATCTTGAAACAGTCTTATAGAATTCCTCCGATGAACTTTCATATAATAAAGAAAATAAATATTGAATCAAATACATTAAAAGAAAATTATCTATTCCAATTAGCCTTAAACATCTCTATGATAAACATATTTCAATGTATGACAATTCATCATTACTAATAAAAACTTAATGAAAATGATAGGAGAATAAACTCGACAATAAGAGAAGCAAATTCAAAGATTGCATTATTTACTTTACCACAACAATAGTTATTTATTAACCCTGATCCGCCCACCTACAGGACTGTCACTTGTTGCCCACCTGGGGTCCGTGTGGACCCCAGACTGATAACAAACAAATAAAATACAAAACTTTCATTATTTTATTATGGAACTATAGTAGCTGTAGAGAAGACTTCACTGCAAGGAGAACAAACAGAAT